GGAACAAATCCATAGCCTCTTGCTTTCTGTGGAAACAAAAGTAAAACCTCCTTTCCAAAGCAACATATCTTTAGATCCAAATTTTGACATCAAGATACCTTTAAAATATATATATATATTGATTAATTGAGCAATCTTTACAATCAAATGTTTTTCTACAGTTAAAAATATCAAAGACAACACAATCCAGATTCTCTGTGTGATATCCATCTTTATGTGGCTTATTTTTATACTACCTTCACTGTCTTTTTAAATACTTTATTTTTTAAAACTATTTCTTTATGTAACTATCTATATTTGTTTTATTCTCTCTTCCAAGCCTACATACATTTTTATTTTTATTTTATTTTATAATTTTAGTTAATTTTACATATCAGCCACAGATTCCCCTGTCCTCCCTCCTCCTGCCCCCCCTCACTCCAGTCCTCCCCCCATTCTCATTTCCTCCAGGGCAAGGACTCCCTTGGGGATTCAGCTCAACCTGGTAGATTCAGTCCAGGCAGGTCCAGTCCCCTCCTCCCAGGCTGAGCAAAGTGTCACTGCACAGGCCCCAGGTTTCAAACAGCCAGCTCATGCACTAAGAACAGGTCCCAGTCCCACAGCCTGGGTGCCTCCCAAACAGTTCAAGTTAATCAACTGTCTCACTTATCCAGAGGGCCTGATCCAGTTGGGGGCTCATTTTTTTTACATACACTGTTGTGGATATCACTCTATATAAATAAAACACTGATGGCCAATGACTAGGCAGGAAGTATAGACAAAACAAAGAGAGAAGAAAAGTAGAAAAACAAAAAGAAGGAGGGAGAGACACTGCAGCCACCACCAGGACAAGCAACATGTAAAGACTGGTAAGCCACCAGCCACGTGGCAAGGTATAGATTTATAAAAATGGGTTAATTTAAGATAAAAAAAAAAACAGTTAACAAAAAGCCTGCCATGGCCATACAGTTTATAAGTATTATAAACGTCTGAGTGATTATTTTATATATGGATTATGGGACTATGGGGCTTGGTAAAAGCTAGAAAAAAGCCCTCCAACAACAATACACTATAAACCATTTAAAGTCTTGTTCCATCTGAGTCTGCCTTATTGTGAATATATTGCTTTAAACGGCAGTGGCTAGTATTGAAGCAGAAGCCTTGACTGCTCACTCCGCCCATTTCAGCTTCCCCATGTGGTGGAGGTAATTCACCTCTAGCTCAGGGAGATATGCTCTCTGATGACTCTGGGAGGCAATGGGTCCATGCCTCCATCCAGCATTGTGTATCCCAGAAACCTTTATTTTTGGTACTAGCAAAAGTTAAATTTGCCATGGAGTGCTCTGTGAGGCTTGGAGATGGCACTGTGTACCTGTCGGGAATCCTCAGCCATGCTGCAGGTCTAGCCCCCAGACCACGAACCCACCATAGTGGTGGGTGCCTCGCCTTGCCACCTGCATGAGACATGAAGCAGGAACCTATTTTTGGCTCCGTCTGGAACTGCTTATTAAATATCCTCAGGTCAGGTGGAAACTCGAGCCGTTAGGCACCATTTATAGCCAGACGATTTCCTGTGTCCCACCTCTCCCACTCGAGTCCCCCAAGTAAACACACAGAGGCTTATATTCATTATAACTGCATGGCCATGGCTCAACCTTTTAGCTAGCTAGCTCTATATCTTAAATTATCCTGTAACTATTCATCTATGTATCGCCACATGTTCCATGGCTTTACCTGTGTCCCATTACATGTTGCTCCGTGGGCAGCTGGCTGGTGTCTTTCCCTGCCTTCTACCTGTCTCTCTCTTTGAATTTCCCACCTGCCTCTAAGCTGCCTTGCCATAGGTCAAACAGCTTTATTTATCAACCAATCAGAGCAATACATTTTCACAATGTACAGAAAGACATTCCCCCATCAAATAAGAGTTAGATTATGGGGATGGAGAGGTAGGAACAATGAGATAGTCTTGCACCAGGTACCACCTGGTTGATCATTATGCCTCTTCCTGTTCTGCATGATGATTGGAAGAAGGCACTGCTTGAAGGGAGCAATCCTGTTCCCATAAGATGCTTATTCCTGCTCCAAGGTAGTGCTTCATCATTACAGATAATTGCCTTTCTTTGGTGGGTGGTAACTTGTTCTGAAATGCCATCCCTTATTTTTTGGTCTCTTGTCACAGGATGCTTATTGATAAGTCCCGTGGTTCCTAAAATCCAAGGTGACTGCAGGCTGATGACTGACTGGTGACCTTTTGGTACCTTTTCTGTGCCCGGAGCAGGACATTGTAAGAGCTGTCAGGAAGATGCCTTAGTTATTCTTCCATCTTCTCCATCACCACTGAAGCAGGATGAGACAGGTCAGATGTCAATGCAATTTGAACAGATGCTCCCTGAGTGACTAATGTGTCTTCATACAAAGTTAAGCAGGTGGCTGACCCAAAGAAAAGGGGATAGATAAATACAAAATGAAGGAAAGATGGCAAGCTTTCAAACTGCTTTTAGTTATCTTGAAGACCCAAATGAGGAGTTAATACTTTTTAGAAAACATGGATTCTAAGTATATGTTCATGTTTTTGCTTTGTTTTGTTTTGTGTGTTGGTAATGGTTTATAGTGACACTAATTTATCAGCAAAATTTCTATAGGCAGAAAACATTTGGGCAAAAGTAAGCCAAAAGAAAATAAATAAG